ACACGTCCGTGCATTCCTTTAAGTTTATAGCCATTCCCCATTCATGTGGGGGATTGTTGGGTTTGTTATTTAATAAATAATAACAAAAGAGGTGTGAATAGAAAATGGTGGGAAAAGAAATGGAGGGATGACCCGCGACCCGGTCCGGTCTAGCCCGTTTTTCTTTCCCGGATTAATTTAAATTCGTTTTAAATTTCCCGCAAAAATTTCCAACAGCCATGGTTGTTCTGAAACAGTGTCACACCTGTTCCAACAGCCATGACTATTCTGAAAAGTTGCAAACCTCTTCAGAGGGTCACACCTGTTCCAACAGCCATGACTGTTCTGAAAGGTTGCAAACCTCTTCAGAGGGTCACACCTGTTCCAACAGTCATGACTATTCTGAAAGGTTGCAAACCTCTTCAGAAACATCACCAAGTTGGCTATAAATAGACCTTCAAATCCCAGAATATTTACTTACGAAATTTTCTGAATCTTCTTCTTCTTCTTCTGCACAAAATATTCCAGTGTGTTTTACGACCATCGAGTGGTTCGCCGATCACCAGAGTTTTAGGTACCGATACACTGGTGAGTTAAATCATTCTATCCTGGGAGGATATATTCCAAAACCTCGGGTACTTGAGGGGAATAATTTTCTTAAGGACACACTGTGTATTCAGTGGGCTCGATTTGTTCCTTCAACGTTTCAAAAAATTATTTTGAAGTTCGAATATTATTTTTCAGAATTGTTTCTACTAACTTTCTGTTTCTGTTTTCAGAAAGATTATTATTTAATTTACAGCAATACAAATAAATAACAGTTAGGAGGTAGTTGAGTCTTTTTCAACTTTGTACCTTTGTGAGGTTAGTTTGATAGGATTTTTGTCTTAAACTGCTAGTGGTTAATGTTGTGTCTTACTACTCTTTAGTTTTTCATAGTGCCAGGTCTATTTACTGGCTATCGCTTTTGCTTTTCATCTATTTTCTGGTCTTTATGATGTTGTTATTATTCCTATGGTATCTGTTGGTGGTATTGATATTGTCTCTTTTCGTCTTCTTTACCCGAGTATCTTTCGGAGACAGCCTCTCTACTCCATCAGGGTAGAGGTAAGGTCCGCGTATACACTACCCTCCCCAGACCTCACTAGTGAGATTTTACTGGATCGTTGTTATTGCTGTTATTGTTGTTGTCGTATTTCAAATTTTAATCTTGTTTACAACACTATGAAGATTTTGGTGTCTCAATCTGTTCTAATAGAACAAATAAGGTAAAGTAGCTAAATATTCAAATATTGTTGGTAAATTCTGGCATAAGACATTTAATTTGAAGTAAATGTCTGCTTAATAGTAATATAGTATATTCTAATTTTCTAAAGTAGCAACGAGTAATTCTTTTCCAAAACAAAATGTATAATAACAACAACAACAAAAACCAGTTATTTCTTACAAGTGGGGTCAAGGAGGATAGTGTGTAAGCAAGTCTTACCTTTATCCTGGTAGGGCAGAGAGACTATTTTGGATAGACTCCCGGCTAAAGGAAAAAAAGTGTATAACATAATCAAATTGGTCATAATCCTCCTTTGTTTCCAGTATGCTAATCAATAATTAGTATTCTAATAAGTTCATTTTGCTCTAATTTTTGTTATCCAAGGCAAGTCCAGACAAGATACAAAGAAAAAGACTCTTGTTTGAGATTACAGGTTAGATTTGTTATGAGAAATTCAAGATTTTGCAATCCCTTGCAATAAATCCAATCTAATCCAATATATTTAATCAGTGTCCAAATATGGTGAGGATTTTTCCAAAAATACAAATATATAGTGAGTCAACGTTATGTAGATCAGGACTGAACCAAAATCTGATAGATACATACTATACCCCTTCCCATCAGATATTTGTACGCATGCAAATATTATCTTGATTTTGTTTCTTATTATACCTTTTTATTATTTAAAACGATTTATAGTTATGCACACATTATCTAAGTAGAAAATCATGAAGTTAATGCGAAATATTTTTTTTTTCTAGAAAATTATGAATAAACTCACATAGGCGGAATTATTGATCCTCCTATTTAATTTTTTTTTTTATAAAAAAGGAAATAAGCAAATTTTCCCCTTATAGATGGAAAAAAAGAAGAATAAAGAAGAAGAACATCAGTATTTATTTTATGGTCCCATTTCAAGATGGTTTCTTGTCCTTTCATTTGAAAAGCAACAAGCTGAGTTCTTTTAATAAGTATTTTTATTATAATATTGGGTGGTTCTTTTTGTCTTAGCTAAGGTATTATTATATAGGAATGTATGCGACTTACGTTGTCACAATTTAAACCACAATTAGAAAAAGAAAATTAAAGCTACCTAACATTCTCATGGTATTAGCTAGGTCTTAAATAGTGCTAGTGTTTGGTGCATTAATTAATACCGAAACTAACAGTCAATTAATTCAAAATATTTATGTTTATCTAGCTTAATTTCTCTAAGTCCCCTAGCTTAAAATTGAAATAATCACCATTATCACGTCTTCAAAGAAAAAAAATTAAAATGACTACGATATTATATCATGATATAGTTTACATATTTCCTATAAAAAGTTCAGTTGGTCTATCAATTAGTTTTCTTTCACTACTATATATACTTGTTGAGCTGAGCTCATATTGGTTTTGATGATTAACAAATAGTTATGAAAAAATCATATCTCTTAAAGTCCGTTGATCAGAAACTGAAAATCATTCTCTCTTTCGATAGCAATCAAAGGCATGAAGATTTTAATTTCCGAAAAATATTTTCTTTCATACCTAACTTTTCATCAAACTCGAGATTTAAAAGAAAATAAATTAACAAAAAACCTCATTTGCTCCCAAAAGGCTTGTATGGTATTTTAGTTTATTATATTCTTTATAAGGTTTTTGTTATAAAGCATAATATATAAAATTACTAACTTTACCAGAAAATATTCTTTATAAGATTCATAGAACCAGGCAACTAGCTGCTAAGGTTTCAATACTATTAGTTGTTTTAATTTGTTGGGACCATTTTTACAAATCATAGCTAATTCCTGAGGCCTACAGCTTCTTTATTTATTATAATTAGTTATGAATTGAATAGGTTTTCTGCAAATCTGAACACTGCTTCTGAATTGAAGATTTATCATTTTATTTCATTGATAACCTTTTTGCATGTTTCACGTGCTTGCCCTGTACAGAGGCGTATGCACGTATGCATTCGTCGAAAATTATACCGTGTATAATTGTAAAATATAATTTTTTATATACGTATATATTAACTCATTTTTGAAGACTCTTAAAGAAATTTCTGACTTCATCACTGGCCGGTATTTGAATACAGTAGGTACTTCCTATAGTTATTTTATCTTTGTATATTTATTTATTTTTATCAAACATTTTAAAAATAAATAAATGTATCTCAATCACATTCTAGAATCATTAATTTGTTTCAGGGCACTTAATTTTTGTACTTTCTGCACCTTAGCAACATTAATTTCTCACGGCTATATCGGAAAATTAATTATCTGATCATTTCAGCAATATATACAGCGAATATTGCTTTATCTGGAGATTTCTATTCATAATTAAAGAGTATATTTATGAGTATTGTAGATTTCTCAATCTACATAATAATGGTTATTGGCATAAAACAATGAATTGTGTAGGCATGGACATATCCATGTAGAAGGCACGGTATAAAAATGGCTGACTCATAAAAAGGCTTACATTTTCATGTGTTATTCAATATTAAAATAAAATAAAATAAAAAAGGCCCGGTGCACAGGCATCCTGTATTTATGTAGGGTCCGGGGAAGGGATATGGAAAAAAATCAGCCTGGTGCACGAGGCATCCTGCATTTATGCAGGGTCGAGAGAAGGGCCGCACCCTAAGGGATGTGATATAAATTAAACAACTTATCCTGATGCAAACATCAGTAGTTGATTCCACGGCTCGAACCTGTAACCTATAGGTTACACAGAGATAATATTTTGAAATATACTTTTATTTTAAAGTAATTAGTAATGAAATGCTTCCAGATAATTACACCATGTGATAATTACATGAATATATCTCTTTACGCACATATGTTAAGTAAAATTTCTATTGTAGCAATTATTATACAAGTAAAAGAGAAAAAAGTTCAAAAGGTTTTCAATTTACGTCAAAATTTTTGTCATTTTTATATTTTCAAAATCAAATATTGCTACATATTATTTGTTCACTTTTACTTGTCCATTATATTAAAAATATATTTTTACTTTTACTGGTCCGTTAAACTAAAAATATATTTTTACTTTTATTTGTTCATTTTAGCAAATCAAGAAAAAGATAATTTTTTCTTTCTGCTTTACCCTTAGCATTAAATATACATTCCCTAAATCATTAAGACTTTTTGAAATATTATTATTATTATAGATAAAATTATAAAACACATACTTTTTTTTTAAAAGGAAATACAAAATTGAAAAACTAAAAGTAAACGAAAGTAGTAGTAAAATAGGAAAAAAGAAAGAAAAATGTGAACAAGTCAGCATCCCAGAGTAATGAATTTTGACTTATGAATGCCTCAAATTGGAAGCTAATAATACAGAGACAGGGTACAATATGGAAATTTTTGGATTTGTGGTTTATCGGTATTCGAACATAAGATTAAACAATTTACATTCTTTATATCAAATTTTATTCGAAACTATTTATCGGTATTCGAACATAAGATTAAACAATTTACATTCTTTATATCAAATTTTATTCGAAACTATATATATAATGTTAAAAGTTTGAATATTAATTTAACAATAATTTTTATGTGATT